GTTTAGCACATGTTATAATAAACACATATAGGAAAGCAACATGTTAATTTGAATTTACCGTTCTGATAACTTCTTTACAATCGGTCCTGGTCTGTAAGACAATATCTCCTGTTCATCTTTTTGCACTTTGTTGTACTTGATGATTGATATGCTTTCCAGGCCGCGGAGTCAAAAATAGAGAATTATGATGTGGAGATTATGTCCCTAAAGAACGAAATCAGAGCATTGAGTGAGAAGTTTGAAACTGCAAATGCTAAAGCCCAATCTTTTGAAAGAGAAGCTAGGATTGTGGAGCAGGAGAAGATCCATCTTGAACAGAAGTACTTATCTGAGTTCAAAAGATTTGAGGAAGTTCAGGAACGGTGCAGAAATGCTGAAAAAGAAGCCAGAAGATCTACTGAAATGGCTGACAAAGCCCGAGCAGATGCGGTCACTGCCCAAAAGGAAAAGAATGATATTCAAAGGCTGGCGATGGAGAGACTGGCTCAAATTGAGAGGGCCGAGAGGCTTATTGAGAGTTTAGGGAGAGATAAAATTGCATTAGAAGATCAACTCAAGGAAGCACGTATATCAGAGACAGAGGCCCTCTCAAAAGTCACTTTATTAGAGGCGAGAGTGGAGGAAAGGGAGAAAGAAATCGAGTCCTTGCTGGATTCAAATAATGAGCAAAGGGCTAGTACGGTTAAGGTCTTGGAAAGTCTCCTTGACACTGAACGAAAGGCCCGTGCAGAAGCCAACAGCAGAGCAGAAGATCTCTCGGTCAAGCTACAATCCGCCCAAGCAAAAATTGATTCCCTCCAACAAAAGTTAACTACTGTTCTTATAAATGAAACTGCACTGGACAGCAAGCTCAAGACTGCTTCTCTCGGGAAACGGCTCAGAGCAGACGATGGTGAAATTGGCATGGAATCTGTTCAAGATATGGATATTGATAAGACCTCCAGAGTAAATAAGAGGTCGCGAAGCACGACCAGTCCCCTAAAGCACATTCAGCCAGAAGACGGCGGATCCGTGTACAGAGGCGATGAGGACAACCACAGCAACAAAACGTCGCAGGAGGATTATACCAAGTTCACCATGCTCAGACTGAGGCAAGAACTCACGAGTCACAATTTCGGTGCTGAGTTGCTCCAATTGAAGAATCCTAGCAAGAAGGACCTCCTTGGACTATATGAAAAGCTTGTCCTCCAGAAGTCGTGAATATTTTCTTTGTACAGGGAAGCGCATGCGACTTAAAAAAGGGTTTTGAGTTGTAGATCAGGTATGACATAGGGTCAGCTTTTTTCGTTCTGTAGATTCTTTGCCTGAAATTCTCATTGGGACTAGTCCAAAATATTATCGTGAGCGAACTCCCTTTTCCATGCAAGCATAGGCTCTACGCAAGTGTGTTTGTCAGGCTTCTCCATTGGTGTCGTTCTCTGGATAGTGGTTTTTAATAGTTTCCATGGTGCCCTAGAGGAAGACTTTGTACTTGGTGTGCTTGGTTTTCTGGCTTAATGCTTCTTTGTGTGCGTGTGCCTGTGCATTTTTTCGGTCTAATGGCGAGTGTAACAAGTAATTGTAGGATGGAAAACTAATCTCCTTACCGGTAAGGAAAGGAAGGACTACCTTCTGCTTTTTTCCATGGATGAGAGTGCTTCTGGTCTGTGTATGCTTGGCTTTTCTCGTTCCAGGACTTGGATTGCATCCTGATCCAGGTTTTTATGTTCATGTTGTAAGCACGAGCTTATATCCAATAGAAAACGCCCCTGTTGACCTGGGTGTTGAAGTGCTCGAGGTCCGTCTTTTGGTATTTGCGTTGTTTGGTTAAGCTTTTGGTAAATTATGAGAATTTGGTCTCGGAAGATGGCAGTTCCGCGAGATGTGTTGACCGAGGGATTTCCACGACTTTTACACCTTTAGCTTTTCCAGTGAGAATGATTTTTTATCCCTAGCCTCCCAAGCAAAACTATCTAGATGGTATTTCCATTGATCTTTGGTGGATTCAAGACAGGTCCGGTTAGGAGCTGTTCTCTTCTTTGGTTGGAAAGTTCGTCAGGAATAGCTGCCTTTTATTACAAGCAAGGAGGAATTCAGAGTCAGAAAACAGTCGTCAAAAGGCCTCTGTAATTCTGAGTAGTTGTTAATAGTTTCTAGGTATTTATTGTTCAAATGATCTTAGAATAACGGTACATTGTAATTTACTGTATTTAAATGACCTGTTTATATGATCCATAAATAACTGTTCCGTCATGCAAACTTAACCAGGGAGCAACTAAACCAACTATCCCACTGTACAATCTTGCTAACATAGGAATGGGTTAATTTGTTTGCCTAGATTAACTTTTACTTTTTAATAGTTTTTGCTAAAATCGAAATCTTGCAACGTAAGCAATGTGATTTCCTTTTTTTTTTTTTTTTGTCGGTCTTACTTTATCTCTCACTCACAATACATATTCAGACTTGCGTCCCACCTCTTGCAGGGCGTGAGTGTCGAAACCCACATCTTAAAAATGTGATTTCCTTTAAAACCCGAAATACTTGAGACTTTCACAAGTGCAAGTACACGCTTGCTTTGACCAAAAAGAAAAAGCACAAACATGCAGATTCATATATAATTTTCTTCATAATTTTTTGAAATATGAATGATACTTTAAATATTGACGGGAGAAGGCCCACAATCTTCCTCGCCTTTGTTTTGATTCTTTGAGCACTCAAGAGGTTTCTGACTTTTCCTCATTACTCTCTTTTATTTTTTCCTCATTCCCAATCAAACAACTAATCATTGTCATTGTGAAGCTATACAACAACTAAGGAAAAAGTACAAAAACAAGCCGTAAATTTATTTACATTCGTGTCAATTCAATCATAAACTATTTCAATTGGATCAATTTAGTCGTACAAATTTTCACATTGGTATTAATTCAGTTCGTTCGGCCAATTTAAGCCGAAATTTGCTGACGTGGACGCCGGCGTTGACGTGGACATTTTTAAAATTTTTAAAATTCTTTTCGAGTTCTTTTATTAACTTTTTCTTTTTTTCTTTTTTTTTCCTTCTTTTCTTTCAGCTACAATGCATTTCCCTCAAGTAACAAACTCCCATTTTAGCCACTTGTTCAAAACATAAAAAGTTAATACCGTAAAAAACCCCAACTAGTACGCCTCTGACAATTTTACTCCAAACTAATATTTTGACCACCAAAAACACAAACTGGTAAACTAGTATATCTGTGACAAATTTACCCTCAGTTTATTTGCGTTAAATTTTACTGTCAAATTGCTTCGTTAAATGACACGCGGCAATTGACGGATGTACCAATTTTATGTTTTACTCTCTGATTGTCATAGGCGTACCAGTTTATAATTTTTTGTGGTATTAATTCAATTTAATAGAAACTGACGGATGGTAAATTTATTACAAATATATCAGTTCGGGGTTTTTGGCGATTAAAAAATTAATTTAAGGTAAATTTATCATATATGTACCAGTTTAGAGTTTTTCGTGATCAAAAAATTAATTTAAAGTAAAATTATTATAAATGTACAAATTTAAAGTTTTTCGTGATATTAATCTAAACATAGAAACCTCCGCCTTAAGCAAGGCTTTTGGAAGTCTTTCGATGTGACTACTTTCTTTTATACTTTTGGTTTAAGAAAGAACTTCAGCCAGCTGTAAATGCATATCGCCAAGGCCACCCTATTCCCAGTAAACGATCGGCACGCCTTCAATCACTCATTTGTCTACTCTCATGAAAGAGACACTTGTCAGCAATTACTACGATGTTGCAGATGATATTTCTCACGGCACTGTCCCGTGGCTTGTCCTATCTTCCGTATGGGATCCAAGATTTCGCCGACGATTGCGACATAACGTGACATCTCGTGGGGCGCTTCTTAAAAAGAGAAGCACTGATGCTTATCATCATGACGATGGACAGTGATCATTGCTCATTGATCAGTACGTTGAGATCTCAAAAAGGCGCAACTACTAATACTACAAAAGGGTGTCAACATCAAAGAACTTTAGGTATACCTGAACGAGGTCTGCTCGTTCATGTTCATGGATGCCGTATTTGAAGGGTATTAGCTCTGTTTTATTAGCAGATCTCTAAGCAGGGCTTTCACAGGGTCAGGGTTAGATGCAATGGCCTCTCTCTGTGCACCAGGACAATCAAAACTCATCAACACTGAAATCTTGCCAAGACCCAAGAAGCCCCTTGATTCCAGCACCTACTTCCCAGAACGTTTCTTTTAATTTAGCTCCCTTTCTTGGCCTAATTGTGTACTACAGAGATCTGAATCCTGCGCTCCAATTTTTTCTACGTCACCATGCAGTAGGCCTGTCATTTTTCCTTATTATTCTATTCCACCTCATAATCTATCTGATATTGTACTTTCAAAAGACTTAATTTACTTCTTTTGCTTCCCCCACTAATCCACAAGGTCCACGTAGCAGCCGTCTCAAGATCTGCCCTCGTCACGTCGGTCATTAGTGTCTTGTGCACGTCCCTTGATCTAATCGCCACAGCTAGATATGACTGATAAATAAGTCTGATAAATATATTCAGAGCGCCAACTAGCGGCCGTAGAAGCTGCGTCTGTCCTAATCCTGCGCAGACCCACCATTGTATACTCCATTGGGACAAGGGCTCCCGTCATTTCACAAGACTAAAAAAGCCAACGAAATTGCATGAAATATTAAATTCTGGGTCCAAATAGGTGGGCGCAGAAGTTTCAACTTGATTTGTCTGTCATATATAATATTTTTACAATGATGTGGAAGTTTTAGATGGGATTTTTCAAGGGGTCCGACAGCCCCCACAAATGAAATGATAAGAATGAGAGGTTCCCACATAAACTTGTGGGAGTCGACGTGGACGAATAGAGGGGCGACACGTTTCGGTCGCAGGCAACTGGCTTGGAATTTTTTGTCCACACTTGATGCCAACCCTTGCCCAGCTGCCGGTCTTCTCCACTTTGAATCTTGAAGCACCCCAGGAGACGGCTTGATCCTGGAACGAGCGCGCGCGCACACGCGACCGAGGGACATCACACTGCCTCTTTTCTCTGCTGTCTTGTCACGCCCGAATTTCAGATACAATCCCAAAGCACCGCTCACTTTAAAAAGCCCCTGCGGAATCATTAGGAACTCTCACCGCCCCCCCAAGGTAGCACAGGTTGTAAATGCCAAATTCAGATCAAGAAGCTCAAACATGGAGGTTCTCGAGACCACGTTGCCACAGTTGCCTGATCAAGTCAAGGGCTCATCATTCCTCAACTTGACGACCGTAATTGCTCTGTGTGTGTTCTTCGCTCTCCTGTGCGCATGCATTATCATTGGCCATCTCCTACATGGGAACCGGTGGGCCAACGAATCCATCACAGCCCTTTTGTTGGTACGTGATAATATAGTGTGAAGGACTCGTTTTAGTCCTCTCCGATGACTAGTCGATTGTTCTTGTTCGATTATTGATGATTGATTTTCTGGGTACTCAGGGATTGTGCTCTGGAGGAGTGGTTTTGCTGGTCAGTAAAGGGCAGAGTTCGAAGTTGCTCAATTTTAGCGAGAATCTCTTCTTCCTCTACTTGCTTCCACCAATCATCTTCAATGCTGGGTATGCTCTCTCTCTCTCTCTCTCTCTCTGAAATGTGCGTGATTGCAACGGCACACTGGATGTGTTAGTTTTTACACTTTTGAAAGGTTATGACGGAATCCGGATCGAAATCAATGGTTGATTGAGGAACTGTAAAGTGAATGCGTCGGTAATAAAAAAGAATTTCATTTCTTCTGTCATTTGACTATTGCATTTCTTCGTCTGAGTACAGGTTCCAGGTCAAGAAAAAGCAATTCTTCAAGAATATTTCGATGATATTGTTGTTTGGAGTGCTTGGCACTGTCATTTCCTTTTGCATCATATCTCTGGGTAAGCTATCAAACTTTTAGCTGGTTATGCTATTTTGGTTTTTCGGTCTTGCTTTTGAAGCTATTAGTCCAGAAGCACTACCACAAACTGCTGTTTGGACCGAAGTCTCGGCAGCTCATTCCTCAGTCACTGATTCTATGTTTATCCACACATTAATTTAATCTCGTGGGCTCCCCTTGGCGATTTGTAGGTGTATTTTTGGTGTTCAACAGAATCGGGGTGACATCCCTTGATGTTCAGGATTACCTAGGTAAATCACCATATTTTCTTGTATTCAAAATCTGGACATTCTTACACTGATACAGAGGGCTTTGTGTGTGCACAGCTGTTGGTGCAATATTCTCCGCCACCGATTCAGTTTGCACACTACAGGTACGTACTCAAGTTTTTTGGCTATTGAAAAAGAAAATAATAGAGACGAAATGGAGAGTCGGTTTTGACAGGGCTTTATTACACTGTAATAGAATATTCTAATATGAAGATAATCTGATATTATAGGTTCTCAATCAAGATGAGACACCCTTCCTTTACAGTATTGTGTTTGGAGAAGGAGTTGTGAATGATGCAACATCTATCGTGCTCTATAACGCTGTACAGTCAATCGACTTAAAAAAGATTAGCGGCCTTACAGCATTAAAGCTGCTCGGAACCTTCCTCTACCTATTCTTCACCAGTACAGCTCTTGGTATCGTGGTAAGTTACGGTTGATTTCCATGTTAGTTATTTCCACAAGATCATTTAGAGAATCATTCAGAGCAACGCATTTTTTCAGACAAGTTCCAAATGTTTGATGCAGCGAGATATCAACTCGTACTTGTACAAGACACCAGAAAACTGTTCCCAGTTTTTCCCTCATGCACTTTTAGTGGAATGTGACTGTAGAGGCTTCAGTAAAAAATTTCCGCCAATGAATTATTTGTGTCAAGATCATACATAGTATGATTTACTATCAAACTGGCATTGTGTATACTCGGAACGAGAAATTACCAGAAGTGTTCGATTAGGTAGCTTATATTGTTTGAGTCTCCTAATAAATGCATTATCCTGGCTGAAATTTTGTAATTATTTCAGGCTGGACTTTTGAGTGCTTTCATCATAAAGACACTTTACTTTGGAAGGTAAACTAAAGTTTCATGACTTATTTCTGACTCCAGCATCATGGTTACATTTGTGTGTGCTCTAGATTTCTTGCACTGAACTTTTTAGACTTCGTCTCAAATTTGTTGCTCTTTTGCTTAAATTCTGGGTATTCCCGTGAGTACTCTAGTTTATGCATTGACTGGGTCTTAACAGGATCAACTAACTTTGTGAAGGAGGTTCTGATTGTAGACTTATGACATTACTGGTATTTGACCAACAGGCATTCAACAGATCGCGAAGTCGCATTGATGATGCTAATGGCTTATTTGTCATACATGTTGGCTGAGGTAAATATGTCCTTTTGAATGTGAGAACTTTCTATTATATAAATCAAACTGTTAAAGATAAACTCGAAACATTACTAGCTTTAAACCTATCCTTTGCTTCTCAACTCTATGATTCTGAAGTTTTCATTTCGAGAAAATCTCAAATCTGGTGCTTCTCAATTGCATCCCAATCCCAGTTGCCTGAATTCTCCACTAACCCTATACTCCAGTAATTATCATGAGCATGTGATATTTCTTACCGAGCAAAATGTCATCAATTCAGAAACCAATATATGACCGGCCTAAGTGAAATGGAATTGAGATTATAGTGTATTGCTGCTGGTATTTGTTCATACTGGATCTCATAAGCTGATTAATTTGTTTCTGTGCAGCTTATGGATCTCAGTGGGATATTAACAGTTTTCTTCTGTGGAATCGTCATGTCTCACTACACATGGCACAACGTCACAGAAAGTTCACGGATAACAACCAAGTATGCGTCACCTTTGCTTCACCTTGTTTCCAATCAAGTTTTAGCAAGTCATGTCTGAGAAGATGACCAAGGAATTCTGACTGCATCCTTATTGTTCAAATGGCTCGATGATTGCAGGCATGCATTTGCAACAATCTCATTCATTGCTGAAACTTTCATATTCTTATATGTCGGGATGGACGCCTTGGACATTGATAAATGGAAAAGCAGCAAGGCAAGGTACCTTCCTCCTTCATATTACTATGCAGATTCATAGTTGAAAACCTGGACATGTTGCATCGGATCTCTAAAGAGAAAGTGCTTGGGCGGCTTGATCAAATATAGTAGTAGAAGATGAATTGAAAATAAATGTATATTTTGCGCCTAACCATTTATTTTAATCATATTAAGCGCAATTTATAACCCTAGTTGAGTGAGTTCCTACTGATTGGCTGCATATGTGAATGTATGTTTTTTAAGAGAATCTGCAAATTCAAGCTATCATGAATTGCTCTAGTAGAACAAGCCAACAACTTTTCAAAAAGCACACGCCAGACCCCGCTAACGAAAATGAACCACATAGATTTCCTTCCTGCACTATGATTGGTTCCGTCTACTGTGTAGACTGTAGATTGAATCTACCCTAATTTTTTCTCGTGACGATGACTTTGGTACTGCTTCAACAGTGTATGATTTGAATGGTTTGTCTGCTCTGCAATTCAATGACAAGAGGTCTGTTGATGTGGTAATGTGTGAAGAGCTGTCCTAACTTGCTTCATGCGCTTTTGATTCAGCGCAGGAACTTCGATTGCCGTCAGTTCAACTTTGTTCGCACTAGTATTGGTTGGAAGGGCTGCATTCGTGTTTCCCATTTCAAACATCAGGAATTGCATTAAAAGAAGAGAAGAAACAAAAGTCGAGTTTCGCCAACAGGTGATATCTTGTGGAATATGAGATCGATCCCATCCTTTAATTCAGACTTTATCACATTACTAACCATTCATGTTTCAGTTCATTATATGGTGGGCAGGTCTGATGCGAGGTGCGGTTACAATTGCATTGTCTTACAGCAAGGTAACTAGCTTTGCCCTACCATGAGTTATGATTCTCTACTTGCCGGCATTGTCAACTTGCTGATCAATTTAATCTATGCAATTTTCATGCAGTTTGCATCGTCATCGGATACGTCATCACAAGATAGTTTGATGATCACTTCCACCATAATAGTTGTTCTATTTAGTACAGGGGTAAGTTAACTCTGCGCTGATCTCCAAAGTTTCCTTTCATGCATATCGAACCAAGATTGTCATGTTGCTCACAAAAGAGTATGGCAAAGCCATTAATCCTTTGACATTGCATGAAGGAAGTACAATGCAACTAGGATGGATCCATTTTCTTCTATGATTTTCTCTATGTCATGGAATCACTTGTATTTGGTGGCACTATTGATTGAATTTCCTCAATATTGGAAATTATTAGACACTTCAATTTTTTGGACAGGTGTTTGGTTCCATAACGAAGCCTCTAATAGAAGCAGTGTTGTTACGGCACTCGAGACCAATGGTTTCTGATGCTTCTGATCTTCCGAGCCTAGAGGACTTGAGATTCCTGTTCATTGAAAATGGCGACCCGAGTGAACAGGGACACAATCAGAGAAAGAGAAGCTTGAGGTTGCTCATGACGAACCCAGGCATTAGCGTTCATTACCTGTGGAGGAAATTTGATGACAGATTCATGAGGCCAGTCTTTGGTGGAAGGGGTTTTGTTCCATTCGTTCCTGGATCACCAACTGGCGAAGCAGAAGAAAGTCAAGAAAATTCCTAAATTAGATGGTGAGTGCGATTATTGTTCCTTTTGTTTTGTCCATGGAGTGATTAATATTATTTTTAGAGAATCGATAAATGTAAAAGGAAGCTCGAGATTAGCTGTAAAGAGTGGGGAATACACTTTATCGTGATTTTGCACTTTTTAAAGTGTTATCATATGTTTTCTCCGCCTTGCTGCCAAGTTTATGTTACTTTGTTTTTCAATTTCCTAAAAAGGATTGAGTGGCAAAATAGAGGGAAGAAGGTTATGGTTGTAAGAAATTCTTTGGGGAGTTCTTCATGAATGCCTTTTCGCCGTCTGCTTAAGTAACAAGTTTTGGGCTAAGATTGACCCCAAGCAAAGAAAAGAATATGTTCCACAAGCAGTATAAACTTGACTTGCAACTCAACTTCAAATGTTTCACATCTCTTTTCTCCGCTATTTCAAGCTCTACATCAAACACCGGACTCGACATCTTCAAAGAAAAGTACATTAGATGGATCAAAGAGAGAACCATTTCCAATCGCTGAATATATGCCAAAAGCTATTCAATATCATCATGAATTGCCTAGCATCGCAGACTCACAAGACTATCACATTGGGCGATCCTAGGCGCAGCAATAGACTAGCCGAAACGCCCAACTCTGTCAAATCACAGTGCAGTTCCAATGCTGATGCAGAACGAACGGTGGATCCTTCAACTCGAAATCTTTCATATCAAGGTTTGAGTTTCAAAAAGGCGAACTTTCCTGGTGAGTTGGCTCCGAATGATCATGACGAACGTCCACCTGTAAACAGCACCAGCGACGATGTTAACAATAAGGAGCGAGTACATTCACGTTATGATGATCCCGGCGAAAAAGAGCAGCAAAGTCCAATCCCCAAAGATCTGTCTCAGGAAAAGGGTATGACAAAGGCTGTGAGCTTTGATCACAAGGTAGAGATAATTGAATGGAGTAAGAGAAAATTGAAAAAGATCAGATCAACAGAGAGGATGAACTCAGCGGAGCGCAATGGCAATGAGATAATAACACCTCTCAAGCCGATTCTGAAGATGGGTTCTGGCCTGGATGCAACATCGGACCCCAGTACACAACAGCCATATGAAGCCAAGACATCATAAGTATTTAGGGGTAAGAGGAAAAACGGATTCATACACAGCAGTTTTTCTTTCTTCTCTTTCTATTGGCTGCAACACAAGCTGTTCCAAACAAGTTGTATTAGGATATATTACAACCAAAGCATAAAGGTCGGTCTTAGCATATACATTTCAAACCAGATAAATCTCAACGATGTGGTCCATTGGCGAAATGAAGAAGCCTTTTACCATGTTATTTTAGAAGGGGGACTTTATTTGTATGATACAGTTAAACTGAATCAATCAAACGCTTGGTACAAGTAGAAATTCAAGAACTTTCCGTGCAAACTGATTGGTATGATAATGGTGATTGTTTGTCAACTGATGTGTACAAATGATGTCCAACTCAGGAAACTGTTGTACTCTCACAACATATTCATTGACGTGGACACACCAACAAATTACGTCATGCTTTGGGAAAATGTATGATTGGTTGGTCGTGCTCCGGAATTTAGCCTCCTACGTTGGACATAAGCAAGCATTTGCTCTCTCTTGGATTTATTCCATTGACATAGATGAAGTATTAAGTTAAAGGAGCAAGCATTTTCTTTCTCATCAAGCATTCACTTTTCTCTAATTAAAGAACCAAAATAAAATAGAAAATATAAACAGATCAAATGAAGAAGATATGTTGAACACAAAGAAAAACAAAAATAATGAAGAAGATATGCTCTGTGCTGGTGGCTGGTGAAGGCACATAAAGGCACGTCCAGGTTCAATGCATTTCAAAATATACTTGCTGATGGAATGTGGAAAGCATGCAGAATCAGCATCGAAGAAAGATTGATCAGAATGAACCGGCTTTTGGTTAAAGTAACAAAACCAACTTTCATGGAACCTTTCCGTGAAGCAATGTTTCTTAAGAAACCTGAAACTTGAAGAAATCTATGTGGAGATCCGGTTTGGAGGACAAATTATGCGCCTGTCTGGTAGGAAAAGAAAACAGAGAATGGCGAATCCTATACTGTACTGTACGAGGAGATATTTGCCGTGGGAAATCAAAAACAGAAAAAGGCAACTTATACATGCATTTATTTTCCCTTTTCTGTTGACATTTTACATCGCGCATCCAAAGTCAGTCCACAACAAATTAATTCCCAATCATCGCAGCGATCTGCTTTGCAACCGTACTTGGTCATTATACGGGCATAGTTCTTGAAAACGACCTGAAGCGTCGGTCGACGTGTGATCGAATCACTTCCGTCGGCCTGTGCCAACTGGGCAGGTCAAACGAAGATGAGTAATCTTAGAATTTGGTAAACTAAGACCGATTTATAAAATTAATATATCAATTAATGTGACAGGTTATGAGTTCTGGGTACCAATATACAAGCACTATAAAAGTAAGAAAGTAAAGGGACTCAAATAGATTCAGAATATACAAATATTTTCCCCAGGCCAAAGCTGACAATAAAGAAAAGCAAAATCAAATGAATGCTCCTCAACCCCGACCAATGCAAATCAGATTTGTCTTGCTTTATTGCCAGGGCAATGCCTCCATCCTGTCCAAGAAGATTCGTTTCTAGTATCTGAAAAATCCTAAGAAAGCCAAGTCAAAAGAGATCAGGTAGATGGGAGCCGTTCATTCATCATCTCTGGCTCTCTCCACCTCCACTGACACTTGTTTTATCCCTGGGACGTCCGCTCTTCGTCCTCGCGCATCCAAAGTTGTGTCCAAACTCAAATCGAACTCTTCCCTTTCTGGTCGGATTTGGAGAGACGATAAAATCCTAGATCCACCCGTCTCGATATTCACGAGCACCGTCGCCCAAGATTCAATCTTTGCGCAGTCTCTCCCTTTGAGGTGTGCGAGGCTCGAGATGGCGACCAAGAACGATGCGGTGGCGGGAAAACCCACGTTGGGTTTCGTCGAAATTGATCAGGATTTGGTTGATGAGATGGTTTATGATGCTCTTGTCTGGAGTTCTCTTCATGGGTTCGTCGTTGGCGACAGAAATATTGAGGTCAGTGCCCGCCCATAAAGATAAGAAGTTTGCATTTCTTTGGAGTGCTTGCGATAAAGGCATTTTTGGAGTTCTCTTCTGGTATAATATAGTTAAATTGTTGCGCAAAGTCAATATATTTTAGCATCTTGGATACTCACGCTGTTAGCTTTCCCAGAAAAGTGGATGTTTTGGGGTTGATGATTGTAAAGACGCTTTTTTTCTCTGCTTAAATGAAAGATTATCGACTTTCTGATGTGATGTTTGTGGCGTTTCCTGTTGAATTTGAACTGGGTTGTTTGATTTTACAATTTGATTGATAATGGTATGTATGAATGTGTGTTGCAGAGATCAGGAAAAGTACCTGGTGTCGGTCTGGTGCATGCTCCGTTTGCTTTATTGCCATTCTCATTCCCGGAGAGTCATTTTAGAGAGGCTTGCGAATTAGCTCCTATTTTCAATGAGCTTGTTGATCGTGTGAGTTTGGACGGGAAGTTTTTACAAGATTCATTATCCAGGTAGTTATTAACAGTTGTTGATTTTTAGTTATATAATCTATGTGAATAAACATGAATACTCTGAATCAATTCAATGAAGTCAATGATCGGTCATCGGTTTCATGGCATATCTTTCCTGTTCATGTCACTAGTATATCTTCATTGAGATGTGAGCTTGTGTGTAGTTTGATGGCATCTCAACCCAACCTGCCAGTTATTTTTGTTTTGATTTTCAATGATCAAAGGAATGCATAGCTTACTCCTTTTGCTCTATTTGACCTATAATCTTCATAATTTTTTCTCTCCTTTCTGATGGCCTGTGCTGTATTAACAATCTCACTTTAACCTTGAATACTATTTATGCTACCTAAGCATGAACCTTTGGAAGTTTTCTGCTTTATCTATATGTCTACGGCATGTAGTTTATAATAAGAATATAGTGTCCAATTCCACAGGATTAGGACCATTGTTTCACATGAATTCTCAGGTGTTATTTTACCGATTTAATTCTCACTCCACTTTAGCTTGTATCATATGCTCTTGGTTGTTTCTTAGCTTATGACAAATTCAACTCCTTTTAGCTGTGCCATTTTTCTCGCATCCTGTTATTTTGGATAATATGAGCCCTTCTACCTTCCTTGCAATTTGTTTTTCTCAGTGGTTATTTTGTAGTTCAGTTTTAAGTTTCTCACATTGATGAAGCAAGTCCGCATTTACTGTTGAATTACATGATGTAACTTTTTCTCACTGCAGAACAGAGAAGGTGGATGCTTTCACCTCTCGACTTTTAGATATCCATTCCAAGATGATGGAAATTAATAAGAAACATGTAAGTTCATGGATTTGGAATTTTGTGAAAACTTTACCTTGAGTTTGGTTGCAATAGTAAATTAAAATTGGCTTTTCAAATTCTTGTCACTTTGATGGGCTGCTTTCCTTGTCTGAAAGAAATATATGCCGATTGCTGACTATGATTAGTGTGCTAAACCCCATAATTTTGCTCTCACAATTCTCTACAGGAGATACGACTGGGTCTGCATCGATCAGATTATATGCTTGATGAACAAACCAAGTTACTGCTTCAGATAGAACTGAACACCATATCATCCTCATTTCCGGGTCTTAGCTGTCTTGTGAGCGAGCTTCACAGGTTGGGTTGGTCATATATACTGACTCTTACATTCCCTATGATTTCTCTAAGCCCGTACGCACCTGTTCACATGCACAGTCAAAGATGGTCATATAAAGCCAAAAGCTTGATCTTAACATCAGGTGGTGATGACACAGGTCCTTGCTGAACCATTATGGAGAAACTCTTGGGTTAGATCCCAGGAGGATCCCTACTAATGCTGCTGTGAGTCATTATGCAGAGGCCTTGGCGAAAGCTTGGATTGAGTTCAATAACCCAAAGTGAGAACTGCAAAATAATTACGATCGTCTTCTTTTCTTTTTGTATTCCTAGGTCTGCATATGTGGAGTTCAGTTCATTAAGACCTGATTACGATTGATTACTTGTAACAGGGCCGCTGTTCTGGTTGTGGTTCAGCCAGAGGAACGGAATATGTACGACCAGCACTGGCTTTGCTCTGTCTTGAGGGAAAGATATCCTTCTATATCTGTATAGCTTCCCAGTAATTTTAGCTAGTGTTTGTTTTCAGATGTCAGAAGGGTAGGTTATATCTGTGATTGTCTCTCTCTCTCTCTCTCTCTGAAATCTTTCCTCGTATTTTACATCTATCTGCTTTAATGCTCTGTGTCCAAAGATCTGCTTTACAAACTATAAATTTCTCTATTTCTGTCCATCAGTCTCGTCATGTCCATAATTTGCTTTAGATGCTTCCTTAGCTTTATAACACACATAATGTGAGGTCTGTTCGAAAGACCTTAGCAGAAATTGATGCAGAGGCGAAGCTTCAGCCTGATGGCACGTTACTTGTGTATGTGGTTGTTCATGTCTCTAATTTGTCTTTTTGAATTATGACTTTACATGCATGTTTCACTTAAATATTGAAGCTTTGGTATCGCAGAGGTGGAGTCCCTGTAGCAATTATTTATTTTAGAGCTGGGTATACCCCAAATGATTATCCTTCAGAATCGGTACTTCCCTAAGCCTCGTCCTAATTATTAGCTGCTAAAATAGCAACTAAGAAAAGATTGTCTTTCTTGTATTATTGACTGTGGCTGTGATTAATTTTCAGAACTTTTTCTCCCTCCCTCTGAGCTTTACCAGATACTTTCTTTATATATATGTTTGATTACCATACTAGTGAAAAGCCCGCATTTTGCAGCAGGTTTTGTGTTTCTTATGAATGTTATAATGACCGCAACCATGCTCTATATTTCATAAATATTTACCTTCATATGTCTTGATGATTGAAAAGAACACTAATTAGTTAGTCATGATGAATAATGTACATTGATTATTTCTACTAAATTTAAGATTATATTCTGTTTCTCTTTTTCCTACACATTTTGATTTTAGGATTCACTCGTTACTATCATAATTCTATGAGACTCTCTTTAATGAACAGTACTTGATAAAGGACATATGAACATTAGCAAGCCAAGCTTTAGTTGAACAATTGACTTCATGCTCAAAGCATATATCATTAAACAATATAAAAGAATACTAAATAATTTAATCATGACATTTCCTCCAAGTAACGAAGTTTGTCCAATTGTTTATGTCAAAAATGGACCTCGTCCTGGAAAATATTATCAATGTAAAAAAGTTTCTAATCAATTTAAAAAAGTTTCTCAGGTGGAAGGGAAATAAAAGACTATCCAATGAATAAGTAAACAAAGGGAAAGGAAAGAAACCAAAAAAGGGATTAAGAAATCCATTCTTCACCAAACCTAACTTAAGAAGTGGACAAGTGTCAAAATAGTACTACTTTTTTTGTCAGAAAAATAGTACTACTTTAAAACCCTACTTTAAGACATGCGGAAATCTTAAGCCCTGGGTCGATGTTTCAAAGGTGTGACTTATGTTTTGTTTCTTGCTGTGGTGTAGGAGTGGAGAGCCAGGCTACTTATGGAAGAGTCATCTGCAATTAAGTGCCCGTCAATATCTTATCATTTAGCAGGCACCAAAAAGATTCAACAGGAACTTGCAAAACCTAATGTACTTGAAAGGTGACATATTTTGTGCGACAGATCATATTTCTTTATCCTCTGTGCTTTATTTGGAATTGTATCATTCCTAGAAAAACTCCTTGAAGCACACATGCGTACAGATATGTGCATAGGCATACAACAATAGCTAATATGATGATGTTTAATTGAATCTGAAGCTTAGATGTGATCAATGGCACTCAGGGCTGCAAATGAAGGACTATTTTAATACCAAATGGCCATTGTAGCGCATATGTCTTACCAATCAACTTCGATAGCATATCAATGGGAACCTTAGAAGTCAGTTGAATTACAGGAGAAGATGCACTGTTGAATAGGCTCTATCTCCTGTGTGTTTGATCACTTATGAGACTTCATCGTTTGGTGCATGTATCAGATTCCTTGAGAACAAAGAAGACATTGCCAAGGTCCGGAAATGCTTCGCAGGGTTATGGAGCTTAGAAGACCCTGATATTGTTGGTAAAGCAATTGAAAGTCCCGAGCTATTTGTCATGAAGCCCCAGAGGGAAGGGGGAGGTAATTATCTCTCACCGTGATTATTATTCAAGGATTGCTTTGTTATGAGCCATGCTATCTTCTTTCTAAAATGAAGTCATTTCTCTCCTCAGGAAACAACATCTATGGCGACAATGTGAGAGAAACCCTCTTAAGGCTGCGGCGTGAAGGGACTGAGGAGGATGCTGCGTACATCCTTATGCAAAGAATTTTTCCAAGCATTTCTCCCACAACTCTCGTCCGTGATGGCATTTGTTATAAAGATCACGCCGTGTCAGAACTTGGGGTATATAGTGCTTATTTGAGGTAATTATTTGATGTCACTCCATCTCTCTCATTAGTTTGATGGATGTGATCTCTGGTTAAATGGAATCGATGACTTGGAATTTAATCTTTGCAGTTGGAGTCGATGCCAAAACCTTATACGTAACCAAAGCTGCTTTTTTTTATGCCTTCTATAGCGTAGTCGTTTACATGTTTTAGCACTAGTGAATTCAATGACAATGTTTGTAAATGCATTTGCTGTGCCCATGGTAATCTGAGATTCATCTTAACAGGAACAAAGAGAATGTCATCGTAAACGAACAGTGTGGTTATTTAATGAGAACAAAGATATCGTCATCAAATGAAGGTGGAGTCGTTGCTGGATTCGCAGTTCTGGATAGCTTATATCTGACTTGAGATTTGAGGCGCTTGGATCTCAGCTGTATTCTCTTGTTAAACTCTTCATTCTGATTTCTAATAGTGACTGATGCATGCTCACAAGTCCTCTGAACAAGTTTTGCTACCCCATTGGATGTGGAAATTGTGCGAGTCGATAAAGTTAAATCCAATTGAAGATTTTTTATTTGAAGAGGAAATTGAGGGCATTATACGTTTTCCAATTTGTTGGCAGAAGTCTGGTGCAGGGTCAGTGAAAACAATATGTTGCATCTGATCTAATGTATTTTCACTTGACACTACATAATGATCTGAAAAGGTGGTCTCAGTGGGATGTTGATTTTTTGTAAGCTTTACCTAGTGGTAATTTCAAGTTATTTTGAATTGTCTCTGAACTCTTTGAACCCGATTATTGGTAGATCCTGAGTTGAATTGGATATATACATGATCACGAGCAATTCGCCACAGCTCGACTTACAAAATTTGCATCGAGTTTTTTACAGCCTGCAATGAGAGGCGTGTCTTAAGAATTTCTGTCATCCTCCTGGAGAAAAAAGCTACGAGAAGATTGACAATGAACTAGAGAGTGGTGATACATGGACATTCATTCAATTTATGCCGAGATCGAGAACAGTTCAAGTACAAGCTCGTTCTTGGGGTAAGAAGGCGAGCAACTCAGCGAGGCATGTGATACAGACATATATATGGAGAACAAGTCGTTCTTCGTCCTTGCCAGGATGATCATACGAGTATATATTCTTGCTAGCCTTCCATCTACCTACGTGTGGACTCATCTTTCTCAGGTCCCGGCGAGTTATTACAGACCTCGATCTTCCTATTTCGCAAGTTCCGACTCCAACATGGTAATTTTCTGCATCTTTTGTGCATGCTGGAAGATAACATCATAGTGCTAATGCCTTGCGACCTCTCCGGCTCTCGCGCTCAAACCGTAAAGTAGCAATTAAAACGGATGCTTGTAAGTAGCGAAAAAGAAGAGAAAAGAAAAGAATTAGTAATGGTAGTTCTCAACCACCGCCAGTTAATTGAATGCTTTGCGTTTATCTTCCTCTCCTATCATATTTACCATAATCACAAACCCGAATACAAGGTAAAAGGTTACAGGGCATATGCTAACAATGTCGAATTTTTTTTTTAAAGAATTTTTTAAATGGCATTACAATCTGCCACTCAAATTGGAAAGAACCCAATTGTTAGCAGCGCCTATGGGCATACACAATCATCCCCTTCTCCAGCATCATCATCTGAGTCGGCGAATCCATCGAAAAAAGCATCGAGGTACCAAGGGCAACGTTCATTCCATTCGCCCTTCCTCGCATGAGCTCGCCATTTCTGATCTTCAATCATCTCCGAGGAAAGGCCCCACTCTCGTAATTCTTCCTCTGTGTGATGGATAGCAAGGCTGTACTCTCCGCCTTCCCCCAACTGCATCACACGGAACTCGCAATTCCCTGGATTGTTGAGTTGCTCGAATTGCTCGACCGTCCACTTGAACCATTTCATGAGGAAGACGCGCGATGTCAATCCGTGAGATACGATGATGAGATTCAGATCGTGAGAAGGATCAATATGGTGCCTGTTCATATCGATGTCTCTCCATAATGATTCCATAAAACCTGCAGAAGCGCAGTTCAGCAGTATTATAAGCACAGTAAAAAGACCAGAACTTTATACAAACAAGGCTTCATGGAGCTCATCTGGCTATCCCTCTTGGGGTAGAACATCTTCCAAAGAGCACTCTACATCAAACTAAAAAATAAATGAAAGCAGCATATTCGTGTGTCAGCTTACCTTATTTCCCTGATAATCATAGAACAACCAAGGACTGCAACTTATCGTTAGAATGCTAGCTGGGTCAAAATACTTTAACCATTTTGTCACCTCAGTAGTCCATGTTATTCTTTTCTCATCTTCTATAAGATTGGTATGAAATTTCTGTAAAACTTGTAATCCACTATACAGTATATTATATTAATAAAGCATGCTGTCGACAAAAAAAGCATACCTATGCCTACGAGGTGACCGAGATACGGGAAGGCCAGTCATCAATATACTTTCACCCTAAAAGATTCTACCTTCAACTTTACTCATGAACCATAATACTTGGTGGTCTAAAAGACATTAAGCGAGATGGGTTCAATGCTATGCGCAGGGATTTTGCATTGATGATAAGCTATATCCTCAACTGCAGTAATCCCAAAGCTGGATGACCATATGCTTGCATTCTCTTTTCCGCACACTCAGGAAACAGTATGAGCTCTTGGCATTGCAAAGCACATCATTCAGAGGATCCGAAAAGAACAACAATCTGTAGATTGGCTGGTGGAACCAGCAGCTAAATAATTGAGCTTTAAGACAATTCGTTGACTCCCTCCCTCCCTCCCCCCTGGCCAGAAACCATTTAGGCAAGATCAAGAGGAGCTCTCACTGGGTCAGGAGTCGAGCTTCAACAATCCAATCTCACCCGTCACGAAATTCTACCCTCTCGTTCTCTTTTCCCATTATCGAGCTTGCTCGGTCAGCTAATTCAGCAAAATTAAGAAAGAGCATACTCAAGCAAGTTCGACAAACAGCAAACCTCTCTGACCAATAACAAAAACACATGATCAAGCAAGTCATTGGTACGCCATCCACACAAATTCATTCCTTCAGCTGATTTCTCTTGTGGACACACACTCTCACGATTCATCCGCACACTAGACCAGCGACGAAGCAAAGCCGACATCACATGAAATTGCATTGATCGAAAACATACAACCCCGACGCGAAATCGAAGGCCGAAGGATGGAAAGAAAAAAAAAAACTCACTCGAAACGCGATCGAACACATCGGCCGCCGATTCCCCTTCCGGAAACCGGAAGAAGAACCGGCCGAACCGCTCCCTCGCCTCCTTCACCCGCCTCATCCTCTCCTCCACCTGGAAGTTCCCGAAGTCCTGCTCCCGAATCCGGCACTCCTCCCGCACCCCGATCACCCGGTTCCGGCCGAACGACCGCCCGATCTCGCGGAGCGTCGACCGGGTCCGCTCGTACGGCGAGGCGTAGAAGTAGACGCGCCACCCGCCGCCGCCGGAGGAGACCAGGGAGCGGAGCCGGTCGCCGGCGGCGCGGGCCTGGGCGATCCCCTGCGGGGTGAGGGGGATCCGGTGGTCGGGGGTGGTGGTGTAGGCGGACGGCGAGAGGTTGCCCTGCGACTCGCCGTGGCGGACGAGGATGATGCGCTTCGGGAGCAACGACCCGTGCTGCGGATGCACCATCGTCGCGGCTCCTCCTCTTCTTCTTCTGCAATCTCTCTCTCTCTCTCTCTCTCTCCTGTGACTCTGACGTTTTTTGGACAGATTGAGATTGTGATGAAGAAGTGCGGCCGAACCGTCTCTTGCTGTGATGGAATGTGCGGCGTGGAATGATACGGTGTGGTTCGTTTCTTTTGCGTGTATAAAGCTTTTTTGGCTTTAGCTTCGCTCCTTTGGCTTTCTCTGTCTTTTGACCTTTGCCCTTGTTCTGTCTTTTTCTTTTGTAGCCTTACCCTAATCAGATACTCTTAAGTTTCTGCGTCGCATGGACAAAACTGCACAGACTGAGATTTCTTTCTCTTTCGTCGTTTGTCGCTTGAGTTTTTCGGAATATCAAATGCGAATTTTCTATCGAAATGTGGGCCGTTAGATATCGACCAAAGCACAAGAGACCGACATTATGATGTTGATGCGGAGTCGGATGGTTTGAGATTTGGTCCGTGCATTAATTGATGCCTCTTTGCGAATTTCGGCTCCCGTGATTTGTGTCATGATGGAATTCGATTCTCAAGCCGATCTTCTCGGTCACGACTTCGAGTTGAACAAATTGCTCTTGTCCAAATTTAGAGGGAAAAGACCGAAGAGTGTCGGAGATCGAGACGTGGCGTTGATCTCGAATGAACAACGAAAATATTGATCACCGTGGCTCGAAACTTGGACTTGAGAACGCTATTAACTGCAATCACAAAATAAAGTTCTCACTCCTCCAAATATGCAGAAAGATACCTTCTTTTAGATAGAAGAAATTTCAATTGGAATTTCATTCATGCTCTGGACAAATACAAACACTCGGTCATCTCCCACATATTAATCTTAGGAAGCCTTCAAAGCTTTTCACGTAAATCAATGTTTCAATCCTAGGACGGGTCCATCCTATTGCTGCTGGTCCATCCTATAAAGACCAATGCAGTGCCCTAAGCCCCCTCATACCAGGATTTCATGCGGCCACCCTAGAATCAAAAACACCCAGGACTGGTCCATCCCATTGCTGGTTGTAGGTTTAAAGGGGTGAAGCCATTGTCAAGGCTCTCTAAGCCTACACCTTCCAGCATTGCTGAGAGCCATCATCCGTAAGGCTCATTTATCCAAGAGCTTATAACAAGCCAATTCTCGGGTCATAGAACAATGCTTACATGGTATTTTGCGCTAAGACTTCGTATTCATCGATGCGATCACAAGTCCAATCGGCTTCATATTCGTTGATGCGATTACAAGTCCCATCTCCAATGAATATCACCATGCATGTTCATATGTTAGGGCCGATACGGACAACATCGAGTACGGGATCGTCTCATAACACGAGCATGCCTTATTCGGCGTCGACCATGCACTGTCACAGCAGTTGAGATCCCATATGTGCATATATTAACAAAATCAAAAAGTGTGCACGTCGAGTGAGGAGTCCAGGAAATCCAAAATTATAGTTAGGCCACCGTCGAAGTCACATCCAGTCTCGAGCATTGGACGACTTCTCTGCCTAAGCTTCTTGCTTGCTTCTTTGCTCTTCGAACTTATCGATGGCCGTCTGGAGCTCATCTGTACCGCCAACAGCTCTCATTGTGTAGAAATACACTCCAAACACAAACGCCGTCAGACCACCCGCGACGACCAGGTTCTTCGTCTTGGGAGCAAGATTCCTGTATGCAAATGGCCCCGCCATCTGCATGCAATGATCATGATAGCCTTCTTAAATTTGGCTTAGATATGCGTACAAAACAAAGATGAAATTCTTGCACGTATCACGGTATCAGATCCCATACATCATTATGTCTGGGAATCAAGGTAAGAGCCAATGTGCATGTACAACATATTTCGGTATAAGAAGGATTAGTCTTGAGAGAATTACAGCTAAAGTACAGTGATTCCCCACAGGAATAAGAGCTGGGTTGAGCCAATCTAGTTTTAAGCTCGAGCTCTCAATTCACATACGCAGCACCCAAAACTCAATTATAACTCTTGTATATACTTAAACTTGATTGCGACACTTTTATTTTTAAATAAGCAGAGAAGCACCATAAAATGACACCATCAACAAAAAAAAAAAGTCCAATGATCATGTATTGAGATAGATACAGGAGAAGCAGCAGAACATAGAAACCAATCCACCAAAATCACTCGAAACAATCAATATAAAGCTTGAAATACGGATTCAGACTATGAAATCCAGGAATGGTGAAACACCTTCCGCAAGTTAACCCAGAAAACAAGATGAAAATCGGTTAAAAACTTCACATTTAAAGAGATAATACACTTCAATAGGCTTTCTCTTTAGAAATTACAGAACACAAAAGTTCAACAATTACTCATGTTAACTAGGGCATCAAAGTTCATTCCCAAGGAGGACAACTTTATACCTCAACTGATTTTTTTTTTGCATCTGAAGCAGACAAACATACAAGTGCAGTCATAATGATGATATCATACTTCCTTCAGAACGTTTCAAAACATCATGTGCAAGATACTCAATCAAGCTCAAGAGCCACTGGGTACTCTGAGCTCGATTCCAGAGGCTACTTGAGCTCCAAAACAAAAAACCCAAATCGCGTTCTGAGTGATTAAGGAGTAGAGCCCAAACAGCCCCTACGTGGCTTGACTCAGTTACGACTCTGCCCCTCCTCACCCACCCACACACCCACCCAAATGGGCCAAACCCGAAAAGGTTGCATCAGGAAGTATTTTAAAATGCCGACATCGTCTTGTGACTCTCGTCTTGGTCAAACCCTTTCAAGTCCAAATAGAACAGAATTGACGGCTCACTTTGTTTACGGTAGTAAAATCCACAAAGGACTGTCCGTGCCGTGATCCTAGATGACAAGAGCCATAACCAACCGAATTCACGACACATCCCAATCGGCTACATAATCAACCATACCAACAATCCCCAGTTAAACTAGATTGAAAAAAGAAAAAGAAAAGGTCCACACTCAACATCTCTTGTTCTGATAGCGGTCTCAGAGGACATTACATTCACTGTAATTTACTCAAACACGAGGCGATCTCAGAGCATTCACGCCTGAATGAGTACAACATCCCGGGTGGGTGATGAACAAAAATGCATCAATACACCTAAAACAAGCATATAATACAACAGGGACATGCAACATCGCTTGCTCCATCCAATCCCTACCTACCCAGAGCAAGAACTTAAGAACCCAGAAAGTTCCGAACTTTCCCGACGATGAGCAATGAACGAATTGCGAAGGTTGGAGAGCCTTACCGTCTCTGACGCGACAAGGAGGAAGAGATTCGCTGAAGCTGAAGTTTCGGAGGAGCTGCAGGGGAGTGAACCCTAGAAGAACTTGATGGATTCAGCTGAATCTGAAACGAGAAGGAAAACGATTCGCGATTCTCTTCTCCCCTTCGCTTCTCTTGGGCCTCCCTATGTAGATTGGGCCGAGAAAGTGGGCCGAATTGTGTTTCGACTCCGGCCCAACCAAAGCCCGCGGCCGGTCCAATTCCTTGTATGGAGGATTATTTACTCAGGATTACGCATAATTAAATCAAAATAAAAAAAAACTTATTAGATTGTAGCCAATCTTCCTGCGAGTTAAAGAAATATTGTTTTGCTTAATCATTGTCGGATTATAATTCCCAAGGTTTATCTTGTTGTTGCTAAATCATTATAATGTATAAAAGGCACAATAATCGTATACATGACACTATGTAAATATCCTCATTCAAACCTATCACTAGCACAACATTATTTGCTCTAGTTATGAACATCTCATATGTACAGTTTCAAATATGTGTTACTAGTTTAGGGTTTTGGTGGGACTAGCTAGTCTACAAAAGCAACAACTCAAACGTGAGAAATATGGAATCGAAGACATGACATGAAATTAAAGACAAATCTGACTCGTCATATTATGCGATGTAACGATATGGTTAGCCTAGTCAGACCTTAAAAAGAACCGCACCAACCTTCTTCCCCAAAATGACATGTTCGTTGTCCTCGAGGGCTGTCTTTGCCAAAGCCAGGTCGAAGAACCAGACGAAGTCAAAGTGTTGACACCAATAATTAATTTGGTTGTTGACAGTAAAAATAAAAATTAGGAGATATACAAGACAACAACGATAAATGCATAGGATCATCGATGATAAATGACGTAAGCCATAAAAAGTTTATATAGTTGTCAAGATGATGGTAGCAGACTGTTGTCAATCATTAAAACGTGCTGGCGGGAAGTTTGAGTATTTGAAAATTGAAAAGACAGAAATCGGAGAAGAAACAGTTGCCGCCCAAGAATTTGTATCGTAGATTATCGATGAAACTGCCACTATGAGAAGACCAGGCCACCGAAGCTATCTATAAGAAAAAGAACAGTGATTTTATGCACGATGAGTGGTGGTTACCTAACAGAAAAGGACAGACGTCGAGATAAAGAAGAGATCGATGACGGTTACCTTATAGAAGGAGACAGGTGTCAAGATAAAGATGAGATCGATGACGGTCACCTTACAGAAAGGGACAGGTGTCAAGATAAAGACGAGATTGATGACGGTTACCATACATAAAAGGACAGGTGTCAAAGCAAAAACTAGGTCAAATAATAGTTACTTAAAATGAACTGACAGATGTTAGAAAGATAAATGATAAAAGGTGAGATTGATGATAGTTATTGGACAGGTGTCATAAAGACAAAATGGCGGAGATAAGATCAAGGGCAGTTATTTGGTATGATCCGATAGATGGCGCTAAGGGATGATTACCGTGCTCACAGTATAAATATCATCCGATAGCAGGCAAAAGCCCCTGGAACACACAATAAAAAATGCTATCTTTTTATCTTTAATTTTTTAGCATTGTACTTTCAATTTCCTTAGTTATAGCCATCTATGTTTCAAGCCTAATAGTTGTGTAGCACTGTATCGATGAGTTTGAACGTTGCCAATCAGAGGTTGGTCAGATTTGTTCAAATTGATTATGAAATTTGAAGTTCATGGTTCTTTCTGATCGAATCTTGTCAAGGCCTGAATTCATACTGCTTGAACAAGGCAAATGAGTTCTTTGTTTTCGCCTGGATATCTCTTGTTCGGAATCGCCACAGAACCCGGTCTCCTCTCATTAAAATCCGAAGAACAACGCTCGGTGAATTATATTTCGTCGGGGAACATTTCCGGCGAATCACAAAGCCTTTCGGAGTCTTCGCATCTCGCTCCATCAGGACGACCGCATGCGAGACGTCGCCGTACTTGCTGACATGCTCTCGCAGCGCGTCCTCACTTGTCTCCCTCGCAACAAGGGTGGTCACCGGAGAGGAGAGAGAGAGGAGCGAAGTTGGATTCTTGTGAGAAGCGAGCAAAAGGTCTAATATGTGAGCAAAGAGACTCGCCAAGTTGGATTTGATTGTCTAGATCTAAATCTAAAAGCAACTTATTTGGCTAGTGCATAGTGCGCGTGACTTTAGAAAAATAAGTTCAAATATGGGTCGCTATTTATGACCTTTTTTTGGGCTTTATATTTTTCTCAACTTAGTTTAACCTATTTTACAAAAAAAAAAAAAGCGAGTTACCCATATCAAATTGGGTTTATTAAATCTAAGTCACAAACCCATTTCGCCAGCCCTAAGTAAATGTAGCGAAACGACTTCTTACGGAGCAAGTAATCATTGATGACTTCTAATGCATGGTTTCAAATATCCACGGTAGCTTCATATGTATAATACTAGTGAATTCAAGTGACTACCAAGAAAATCCAAATTTAAGTTTGCTACTCACAATATAATAAGATATTGGTAAATCTGAACGATTCAATTGATTCCTAGTCCTTAGCTTTCCCTTTGTCTTGTCAATTCAAAAGAGGTCTCTCTCCATTCCTTTTCATCAACTTGGTCACGTGTCTTAGTTTCTCTCATTTTCTTCATCTGTCCAGAGATCATGAATGTGTGGATTCACCAAGATTTCTCTTATTTTGCAGTCTGATATGGAGACAAAGATAGGACCACTTGTGGGGAAGAAAAGAACAGTTCTTTACAAGACAAGCGTACCGTTTAACCCCAATTCAGAATATGAAGACATCGTTTCCCGCAACACACACACACGACACGAACTTGGGTGGGCGGGGGTGTGTGTGTGTTGCAGTGACAGACTGGAGGCTGGACTGGGATTTCAGAATTTCTTTTTCTCTATTTGAATACGTGCCATTTGCATCTGGAAAGATGATGATGCGTGTTGCTCAGTTCTAGAAGCTGAAGAACAACTAAATTTGGTAAAAACATAACTGATATTTTCGCATCTCTCTCTCTCTCTCTCTCTCTCCAACCTCCAGCCAGCTGCAGACCACATTGCTGTCAATTCCCGTTTCCAAAGATTCCACCTTTATTCCACATCAACCGCTTGTGCCCGAAATATTTTGGTTGATTTTGAGACACATCATCACCTCTCTCTCTCTCTCTCTCTCTCAAAATTCACATATTATGCACAACCCAATGACAACAAAAAAGGAAAACACATTAATCTTCTACACAAAATAATAGCCACCTTCCTCCCATCCCGAGTCCTTTTCACACAAGCGCGTGTGAAACATGTGGTAACTTCACATTATGGTCACACAAGGTTGCCTCCACACATGTAAGTTATTGTGGTGATGGAGGTGATGGTGATGGTAGGGGTGGTGGTGTTCACGGTGGTTCACCAATTTGTGGCGTCTCCCAAACCTTTCATTGCTCAGTTGATGATGATGATGATCTTGATGAAACCTCCCCTCACCCATCCTTTCCTCTTCTTCAAATTTAAAATTCTCCTCGTCGTGATCACCAGTCTCTTCGCTTATCCAGTACCCTATCGAATCGTTGGAATCCTGCACCTCGCAGTGGTTGCTGTCCTCCTCCTCTTCTTCTATTATTTGCTCCTTCTCATCTTCTAGTTCTTCTCGCACTTCTTCTTGTTCTTCCTCCTCCTCCTCGTCTCTAATGAACTCCAACCGCAGCCGCCCATCCTGCCTTGAGGAGCGGAGGATCTTGGGCCGATCGATCCTCACCCCGGTCAGCTCCAACCTCCCATCCCTCCTCACAGGCCTAAGGAAGAAGCTAGGTTGGCCCTTGTGGTTCAAGGAGGACAATGGAGGTGGGAACTTCTTCTCTCTCCTCCTCTCACTCTCCTCCCTCCACCTTGTCCTCCCCACATGATGCCACTCATCATCACAATTCTTGTTGCTCATGCTCTCAATGTCCTCCATCATCATGTGGTCATCGACCCTCCGCTCATCAGAGCTCTCAAACCCTAGGCTCTCGGTGCACGACATCAACCCATCAACCACCTCCCCTACGCCATCCAAGAACATTCCCATATTATTGTTCCTATCCTGGTCCTTCTTCGCCACTGGCAATGATTTGAGGGCGGATGATTCCAACACGTTCAGCTGGCGGCGCATGTCCCCGGTGGCCGTTGTAAGACCGACTCGTCTTGCCAAGTCGTTGGTTGTGTCGTCGGCAGAGGCAGGAGGTGATGTTTTAGTGGCGGGGCAGGCGACGGCGGCGTCGTTGGCGGTATGACTATCAATGAAGTAGGTGAGGCCCAGAAAGGAGTGGAGACCCTTTTTGCAAAAGCTCAAGATCATAATTTGGAAAGGGGGGACAAAAAGGGCGCGAGCATGAACACACACTTTTTTTTTCTTCTATGGAGTGGAAGATGGAGAGAGGGAATGGCTTACATAGTGGGGGAGGGAAAAGGGTGTGAAGAACAAACTTAGGAATGGGGAAGAATAACAATTGATAATTAAATAGATAAATTGAATATCCAACAATAATGAACAAGCAAAAATGAATTGAAGAAAAGCGAGATGGGGGTGTCAAAATATCCGCAAGCCAATGATAGGGCAAGAGAGAGAGAGAGAGAGAGAGAGTGGTGGTGTGGAATGGTGAGAAGAGCGCCAACGAGACGAAAGGTGTTAAAAAAGGATTAGCTGTACTGATAGGGCAAAACTGTGCCTGGTCCCGCCTCAGATGTACCTTAGCCCCCCTTCCCCTCCCCCCCCCGATCTGGCCCTGTCCTCCTCCTCCCACTCCTTGTCCTCCTCCTTTTTCGTCTCCCTTTCGCTTTCCCTCGAAAAGTACTCTTTTCTATAATTAAAAAAAGAAGGCAATATTATCTATTATGGGATAACGATACAAATAGTTTCTGATCTATACGAAAATATTCAATATTTATTTTAAAGTTATCTTTGTTGGGATTGACAATTCGTGTTGTTTCATGTTAATCGTATCACGTAGAGACAGTGGTATAACGGGAATTTTGTTGACCCGAAGATTAGGGGTGTGCAAAACGGACCGTCCGGACCGGACTGGTCGATTTGGTCCGGTTACCGATAGTGTCGGTCCGGTTCCCGGTTCCCGGTTCCCGGTTCCGAACCGACTACATATATATTTTTATTTTTTATTTCTTCAAAAAATTAGTAAAATGTGAACTAAACTCATGTATAACGCTTTCCCCTTATCGTCGCACTACAATGACTCTTCACTCATCGTTACTTCCGTCAATATATTGAGATTTGTTATTTTCTCTGGTTGTGGTGGGAAAAAAAATAAAAAAGTGACAGGTTATCAAACTTAGGAACCGGGAACCGATCACTCCTATCGAAGATGACATGTTCGACAAACTTGTCAAGCTGCTTCGACTCGCCTAATAAAGCAAGTCACACAACACTTTGACTAAAGCGATTATTAAGTATCGGCACGATACGATACGTTAACTTGTTGGCAAACTTAGGTTAACATGTAGAGGTAAAACACCTTAATTTATGCATGAGAACTTGTGTAATCAGTTTCGACACATTTCTAGATAATATGAATAATTTTGCTTCATATAAAATCTACAATATTAGCTTTTTTTTTTTAACATTCTATGACAATTCTGCATCCCAATTATGTTTTTGTTTTACCTTTTACTCATTTTAACATGGGGGTTACCTGTATAAACTATTTAGGATGAAAAACTCTCTAGATATGAATATTAAATGGATTAGAACCTGTTTAATCGTGTCATGTAAACAGATGACACCTAATATGGTAACTTAAACTCGTTCATTCATGTCTAAACATGTTAAGCGGATCAATGCATGGAACACACAATCATTGTTGTCATAAATGGGTCAACTCACTTATGACACACGAACTCCCATATGCTAAACCCAAACCTGTTTAGTTGTGCGTCGTGTTGGTACATGCAAATGGGTCGTGTTAAGAATTATCGGCATAAGTGTTGGTTCATGTGAACCAAGTTTTAAGTAACAAAATTAGTAAAGCTAGCATAGCTTGATCTAAAATTGTGTGATTACTATTTTAAACACGATTCGTGCGGATGAAATTTAAAGGATCAAGTTATATGAAGATTGCGTCAAAGGGTGTCAAATGTGGAACAGGTCAAACCAAGAAGATGTTGTACGTGTTGCAAAAATAGGAAAAATAAAGTGAGATAAAATAAAACTCCATGACCGATCAATGCTTGCTCTAATCTGCTATTTACATGCATCTTTCACCTCTCATGCATGCAAAACGGCAAAAGAATAAAATAGCAGTTATCAAAAAAATATCGATGAAATTATCTAAAAATATGTTGCGCATGTCATGTGTGTATATGTGTTTAGGTTTTGTTTAGAATTGAATAATTTATAGGTATTTCTTTCATTCTTATATGAGTCGAACCGCAACCTTCTAATCTGACAACCCAACTTCGTTCCATCCATGACCAATGACTATCGGGCTGACTGGCTAGGGCCAAATTAATGCCTTAAAATCAGCTTAGTTCGTCATATCTATTTACCCCGTCCATACATACACATTGCTATCAAATGTGATAAATTTTGTGAAGAAAATGAAATATTGAGTCATCTTCATCTGTGGTATTAAGCGACAAAGGCGGCCAATTGTCATGTATCGCAAGTTGCGAGAAGGGCAACTTTCAGTTGAAGACCCATACGGCATGCACTGCAGTCGGCCGGCCAATCCACGGAGGGAGTGGACTCTTTTTGACTTTTCTTCATGCATCATTGAACCACAAGAGAATTTGACATAGACTAGAAAAACAATCAACTAGTATTTAGTAGATATCTGGATCGATATACGATCGATATACAATGTGCTGTTGTGTTTTTTCAATTTGAAATGCTATTATGAATGGCATTCGAGAATGAAAAGTTTGGCTTTTCAAATTTAAATTGAGGGTAATAAATGAAAGAATTACGTGTCTATATGGCCAAAGACCCTTGGGATATTCCCTAAGGGGAACAAAACGTGCACATTGTGTTTTGTCTTCTTCTATCGTGATTCAAGATAAATTTGAAGCATCAACAACTTTTTGCGGATAGTGACTTAAGCTGTAACAATTATTGCAATGGTCCAAATTGACCCTGGTCTTTAGCCTAGGTCCAAAAGAGGTTAAGCACACCACATCTATCTTATCATTCCTTCGATTACTTGAAAAGGCCACGTGTAATAGCACGGGTGGAGCCACATGGCGAAAAGAAAGACACTTGATTCTCGAGATCTGCTCCTCTTTGCCCTCCCATGTTGTATGGATCAATCATATCCCTAAACACGGAAAAATGATCAGATTTAGACATTTGATACAGTCAGGAGAGGTATCATATCCAATCTTCTTATTATATATATAGATGTATGGATGGTTTTCATAAGGGTCAAAAGTTTGAAGTTGAAAATACTTTTGAATTTGTTTTATTATAAAGAGAAATATATCAAAGTAGAAGTCAGAAGTTGGAATATTTTCGTTTATACTTCTAGGGTCAGTAAGACGGGGTTTGAACCAAACAAGTTACATTAATACAAACTAGAATCAAGTGAAAGTAACATAGAGATCTCTAAGTGATTTTGTCAAATACTATTGGGAGTTTCAGTTGGGTAGGAGGAAGCCGGCCTGTGATGGTAGAAAGAATCTCTCCACAACCGGACCTCTCCCCTTCAAAAGCAAAGAGTTTTATATTAACCTGTAGAGAAATATGAAGGAGTTTTCCTTATCATTTTTGAAGAGGAGAGGTCCTGTTGTGTGGAGGTGCCAACATAGACCAGCCTCCCCGTATCCATGTGAGACTAGTTTTACAACAACACCTAACATCTCCCTATTGCTTTGGCTGGATTCTAGTTTGTATTAATGTGACTTGTTCTACATTTTATTGACCCTCAGAGTATCAAACAAAAATTTGAACTTTTCACATCTACCATCATATATCTCTTTATATAATAAAAAAAATTTAAAAGCACTTTCAACTTCAAACTTTTGCCCCTATGAAAACTATTCATATATCTCTATAGAGATAAGCATGGTCCTTCCCAACATAGAACCGGGAACCGTCCGGATCGGTTCCGAAAAATTGGAACCGAAAACCGCCCCTTGGTTCTATGGATCTACTTCGGAATCGGACAACTAGTCTAGTCTAGATTGATTCCGAAAAATTGGAATCGAAAACCGCCCCTTGATTCTATGAATCTACCTGTGAATCGGACAACCGGTCCAATCTGGTTCCCGGGTGGGTCCATGAAACCGGTCCCACCAAGCTTTACGCAAATGGAGGTAACCAAGAGCGAGAGAGGGAGGCGATGAACGGCCAGGGGCATGGCTGTGAGTTGATGGGAGTTGAGAGTCGAGTTTCAGATTAGGTATTTTATGTTTTTCATTTTTCTAATGTTTTCTTTTTTTTTTGGTTGAATTTTTTTAAAAAAATTATATATATATATATGTATATATAGTACCAGTCCTCTCTAGGTGGGCGGTTCCACGCCTAGAACCGGAATCGGACCAGTACTCACTAGTTCTTAAAAATTAGAATTGAGAACTGCCGGTTCTAGGTCGGTCCGGTCCGGTTCCGGGTGATCCGAACAGTTTCCGATTTCTTTACACACCCCTATATCTCTATATAGTAAGAAGACTGGATCTTTCTCTGATTGTATCAAATGTCAAAATCTTATCAATCCTCATTTTTTACTATCAACGACATGATTGATCCATGTAACATGTGAGGGCCATAGTAAAGGAGCAAATTTTCTTGCCATATAAGTCAATAACTTTTTGGTCTTCGGACATTTTAGAAGGAGAGGAGCAAAGTTCCAATTTCAAGTGTCTTTCTTTCTGCCATGTCGCTCCACTTATGCCATTACAAATAGCGTTTTCAAGTTATGGTAGGGAATGATAAAATAGATGTACGTGTTTTTCGCTCTTTTGGATCTGCCCTAAAAACTATGGACAATTTGAAGTATTGTATCAAGCGGTTATAATAATTTTTGCTGCACTTGAAATTTGTCTTAAATTATAATAGAGGGAGACAAAATACACGGAATATCGCAAGAGTCTTTGCTGCACGTAATTATGTCATTAATTATCATCAATTTGAATTCGCAAAGTGAAATTCTTATTTTTAAATGCAATTCATAATAGAATTTCGATATAACAAAATACCACAACTGGCCGTATATCGACCGAGATATATACTAAATACTAATCAATGTTTTCTCCGAAAAGGAAAAGAACAAAACTGACTGTCACCAAACTTTACTTTTATCAAATATAATGTTCATTTGCTGGCAAATATGGATAGAAACAAATCCGTATCGATGAAAATGAGTTTGATACGAAGCCAGGCCAATTATATACACATGTAAGCAAAGCCAAGAAGCAATAATCTTTTGGGCCGGCAAAAGGGCAAAAAAAAAAAACGAGCGAAGCAAAATTCTCTTGCGCTTCCAGATGCGTGAATAGAAGTCAAAATGTTTGGTGATCATAGAATAATTTGTTATCAATATCCGTTATGT